GAGCCCTGTCCACATTTGCCACCCTAGCCAGCATTTGCAGAACATGCATCCATTCCTGTCTTTTGCCTCAAGTGATAATCACAGTCTTTTAAAGAGCTCTATATGCATTTCTGCAGGGAACTGATTTTACATACAGGAGTTGCTACGCCACCTGCAAATCACAGGCTTTTCATTTTGAAATCTTAAAATGCATTTTAAGATGCTTCGTGGAGTCAGAAAGGGCAAAACATAAATGCTGCTTATAAAAGGCTAAGGAAAGTTAAACCACTTGCAGTCTTAAATCCCCCTCTGTTTATAGGCAGGAATAATAATAATAATAATAATAATAATAATGTTACACGTAGAAAAAGTGCAATAGATCTTGAAGCCTTTTTGTAAGTTGGAACAACACTGACAATGGTCTATTGTTAATTGACTCCCATGTGTGAAAGCTACAGAAAAATTAGTTTATACAGCTGCTGCTATTTGTCATGGCGCTGCTAAAAAGGTACATGTGGTAAATTTGGGCATTCTTTTAGAACACGGAACAGAATGACCATTACTAAATTCCCAGGCATGTGTTAATAGAAAATAATTGTCTTATTGAGAGTTGAATTTGTTTTCCTCACTAGCATGACAATGAATTCAGCAAGAATGCAAAACGGGTTCTACAGTGTGGACAGTACTGATTCTGTGGGATTTAGAATTCAAGCCCTTTATGCTCTTCACATCTTCAGAATTTCAACACCCAGTACTGCCTCAGTACAGTTGTGCACTTCAGTCTCTGGCCTCCATTGAGAACGGCTTCTTGATGCGAAACCGGAAGTGACCTCTCCAAACAACGGAACAACTCTCCTTCTCTCATCTCAGCAGCTGCAATCTCCTGGGTGATGTGGATGCCATTAGGGAGTTGAATGCACATGCATACTCCGTCTGTTTCCCTCTCACTGCTCCGCATGGCCCCGGGCACTGGCAACCTATGCTACATCACTCTGTACATGCAGAATGCTACACACAGCAACTTGGATTCTAGCCAATACTGCATCCACAGATTTTCATTTGTGGGTATTTTAAACAGTCTGTGTACTATAAACTAATTCATTTAGCAACCTGGATATTTTCCCTTCACTCCTACTCAGTAGTTCATATTATTCTAATTCATTATTCATCTTTCATTGTGTTTTGCACAACTCTTTCCTTCATCAATGATCCCCCCCAGGTATTGGTCTGCTAACAGTTTTTTAGTGAATTAAAGATTGAAGATTTGCCACAAAGGTATCCCACCATATGCAAAACTTCACAAAGCATTTAAATTATTTCTTTCACTGTTCGCAATGAATGTTTGGATAGAGCGGCAGAATAGTAATTTCCATTATACTTTTAACTGCATCTCCGTCTCACTAAATGATACATTTTCATCCCAGTGACAACACCACCACAGTGATAGATAACACAATGTTATCTCCTTTCATTGCATAAAAACATACACAGACAAAAAAAGTCTTCAACTATAGGTGTTCATTATATTATACATAGCATACAGTGCAATCCTATGGAAGTCTACTCAGGAGTAGTTTGAGGACTGCAGCCAGCCCAAAATCTGCATTTCATGTCTTTGATGAATCACATGGTTAGGAGTGAGAGGGTAAAGATTCAAACATACATACATCAATATAGAAAGGGAAAGCAGTCCAGAATGACAGGACTTAACTGCTCTTTATGTGGTCATATAAACACAACAGGCAGTAGTAAAATCCTCAAAACCAAATTTAAGTTACAATCATTGCAAAACCAAAAGAATGCGTTGGGAGAATTCTGCCCTGTAATTCAGATTGAATATACGGCACCGACTGCTTACGACAACTTCTTTTTTCTTAGCTCGCTACTATGTTAAAAAACATGGATATAATTATAGTTGTTGGCTTTTAAACTGTCTGCAAGGCAGGCAAAGATAAACTGCTATTAGTAAGCATACCCAATCTCAATAATTGTGTTTTGACATTATAGGTAAAAGATGCAACAAACATAATGAGGAGGGAAAACTTGGATACAGCTACAGGCATACCAGGTCAATTGCGGCTGTGACCAAGGGGATTCCACTCTTCCTAAACGCACATACACTTTTTAATTCCTGTTTAGGCTCACTTGTTGGGGGCAAGTTCCATTTTATGCGAAAGCTTACTATTACGTAAGCATCAATAGGATTAAGGCTTTTAGTTTTTTACTTTAAAAATACATACAGAATCAGAATTTTTATTGTTACCTATTCTGGACTTATCTGCAAAATAGTTTCTTACTTATCAAAGACATTCAAAGAAGCTTCCACCAAGCTACGCATCAAATCATATAATTCCAACATGGGCACCGTAAAGGGTACTCAGTTGGTCATTTTGACATTCTGAGACACCTTTAGGGCTTGGCGATATATTGATATATTGTCCAAAGCCAGTCTGAAGTCCATATTGTGATATCAGTTTGGTAGCTTTTGAGCTGGCAATATATCACGAATTGTGTGTGTGCGTGCATGCGTGTGTGAATACACTATGCAAAAACCATGATGCAGGAAAAAACCATGAAGCTGGCCAATGGAAGCTGGCTTCAACCCATGTAACTGACCATGCATTAGTTTCCTGAAAAACAGGTTGCATAGATTATCAGCATGGAATCAGCTTAGGGTGAGCATGGTTTTAGAGAATGGGTGCCAATTCCAAGTAGGCCGGCCAATTTCAACTGGGGCACAGTTAAAGGCCAGACTGCTCTTAAAGGCCAGTAATTCTGCATATTAAAACAAACAAATGTCTATCTTGCCCCCAATACCTCTATTCTATGCATGTAACAATATCCTGGGAAATGTTTCATTTATGAAACCAACTGTCATTCACTGCTTCTCAAATAGTTGGTACAGATGGCATGGGCAGGGCCAACCCTAAATGTGGGCTTTCTAGCTTTTTGAGCTGCTACTAATATTTAACTTTTATTAAATACCAGCTGCTAAATGCTATTACTGAAAATGGATGTGGTGCCTGGGGAAAAAACTGAGAGCAGGAAACCCTAAAAATGGCCCAATTATTACTATTTCTAGTATTAACAGGCATAAAGTCCAAGGCTTTAAATATATGAGTTAAAGGTATTTACACGTATCTACTATATTTGATGTAATAACTTCAGAGCTCCAGCAGGAATTAAAACACAAATACTGGTTTATGAAATTATCACTGAAAACATCTTCCAGAATATAAAGTAACTTTCTATTATAGACTTTCTAATTATAGTGGTGTTGCGGCATGAAGATATATGGAAGGGTTATTTATGAACATGGAATTATAACAGCTTGAATAGCACAGCTAGGAAGATTAACAAAAGGCTTATGTTGATTTCCATGGTCCAAAGATGCATTTCTAAAAAATTAAAAAGTAATTATTATGTGGACTTCTGGAAAAATATTTTTGAAATGGTACTTCACAATAACTTTTCAATGTTCAGTTACTTCAGGCAAAATTATGTGCTTACCTGCATGTAACCACTTCAATCCATTAGCAACAAAACCAAAAGGAGTACGGAACACGTTTTGAATGGACAAATTTGAAGGTTAAATTTCAAGTGAAAAGGCTGAAAAGATTTTTGCCCGAGTCACTCAAGAGCCACTAACAATTCCAGAAAATATGGGCTTGTTTGGACCTAGGCAGCTTCTTATTGTCATCAACAATTACAAGAGCCACAGAACCTCAAAAGCAAATTGGCCTTCAAATCCTGTCAAGACAGACATTCTGTGCTTCCTATATCTGGAAACAGGTGAGTTACCTGTTCTGGATTAGGCTGCACTCCCTTGAAAGCAGTGTTTCCCAAACTTGGGTCTCCATCTGGTTTTGGACTACAACTCCCATCATCCCCAGTTACCAGGACTGGTGGTCAAGGATGATGGGAAGTATAGTCCAAAAACAGATGGAGACCCAAGTTTGGGAAACACTGCTCTAAAAAGAACAAATCTGGGGGGATGCTCCTGGATCCGTCTTTTCCACTGGAATCTCAGGTTGACACCAGGGGCTAGGAGCAACTTTTATCAGCTTTGTTGCTTTTGGTTTGGGATAACTTTGCCATGTTGGTTTAGGAACTGGCAACATCAAGGTTAGATTTCTGCAACGCTCTCTACGTTGGGCTATTTTAAGGTTAGTCCAAAAGCTGCCTCTGCTTTGGAATGCTGTTGCTGGGCTACTGGCTGGAACAGCCTAGTGACAGCATCTAGAACCTTGGCTGAAGGAGCGGTACCGGCTGCCAGACCAAATTTAAGGGTCTGTTGGTATACAGAGTCCTGAAAAACTTGGGTCCAGTTTAACTCAGGCATCCCCTTGACCCTTTTGTTCCAGCCCAGTAACTCTGGTCATTGTTGGAGGCAATCTTGGTGGTGCCGCCTTACATTCCCAATGTCCACTCTGTGGTTGACAGGAGCAGGGCATGTTGCATTGCAGAACCTCCTTCAGTGGCCATTTTCAGAAGCCTGCTCCAAAGTTTTCTGTACATTCGGGCATTTCCCACAATATGGCTCCAGCTACTTATATTTATTACTGTTCCTGGCCCAATTCAAAGTGCTGGTTTTGACCTACAAAGCCTTACCTAGGGTTGCTATTGCAGTATGTCCAGCATTTTTTTAGCGATTTTGCCCCAAAAAAGTTCAACAACTTTGCTGTCCAGATTGCAATATGGCAGCCCTACTTAAATGGCTCAGGACCTCAATACCTCATATGAACCTACCTGGACCCTGAGATCATCTTCTGAAACCCTTCTTCATGTACCTACTCCATGAGAAGTCCAGAGAGTGGCAACACGAGAACGGGCCTTCTCTTCAGTGGCTCCCCATCTGTGGAATGCTCTCCCCAGGGAGGTTCGCCTGGCACCTTCATTATATACCTTTAGGCACCGGGCAAAAATGTTCCACTTTAACTATGCCTTTGGCTCAATGACATACAATGCCCTTTTAAAATGTGATGGAGGGAGGGTTATTGGGTTGTTCTTGTTTTTATTTTGTGATTTTAGGTTGTGGTTTTACCCTGTGAACTGCCCTGAGACATACAAATTTAATAAAAATTATTATTATTGTTACTATTATTTACTTAGGCCCTGCAGGTATAGGGCAGCATACAATTTTAATAAATTATTATTATTATTATTAGTAGTAGTAGTAGTAGTATTAATAATATTATATGCTGAGCTTTTATTGATTGTATATTGTAGGAGGCGTACCATTTTGAGATTCTATTTTAAGCAGTATATACAGTTCTGTAAAATAATTAAATAGTGCAATCTGGAACGTCTACAAATGTATCAAATTGTCTAAGAAACAACTACATTATGCTGCTAATTAAGCAAACATTGTATATCGGCTCTTAGAGTCTTAAGAGCATAAGAAGAGCCTGCTGTGCAAGTCGGTTCCTTTGCTAGCCGGCTCCAAATTTATCCTCTTGGCTAGTTCCTCCAAGCTACTGTGGTAGCCAATCAGGGCAGGAGGCGTGGCTCAAATTCACTTAGCCCCCTGCGGATGGGGAGCGAACAATGGCTGTTGATTGAATGGAAAGTGGGCAATGGCTGGTGAGTCAACTACTTTGGAGAATGGGCCTTTTCCATTAGATCTACAGAGTCAGACTAAACATTCGTGTTAAAGGATGCGAAGAACTGTGGTCCAAGAAACATTCTTTTCAAAAGGCAGAGCAATTTAAACATTTGGCACTGAATTTGTAATTTTGGGTTTGGATGCTTTTGCTTCCTGAACACTGCCAGTAACCTCAGCTGCAGCAGTAGGACTGGAGATTCTTCTTAATAATGAGTGAAGTCCGTCTATCTCTTTCTCCCTCTCTGCATTGTTGCAGCCCAGGATTGTTAAGGCCATGTTGCTCATAGTATTTCTGAGTCAACATGACCGTCTCTAGAGATGGGTGAATTCCGAAGTCACCCTAGGTCCATACAAGTTTTGCATTCAAATTACAGTTGAAAGAAATGCATAGGAACATTTTAAGAAAGCCAGTTAGTACTTATTGCAGTGCTGACAATATTTGGTACTAATAATATTAGTCACATGAGATGCGACACTAAAAACAGGTCCTCTGAGATGCATTCTCCTGAGGAATGCAATCAAATCTCAGGGGGGCTTAGATTCATTTCGCTCTCCACTTTGGATAAAAGAGATTTGCGATTTACCTTGCTTTTAGTTTGACAATTTTGCATGTGTTTTCCCCCCACCCGCCTTTCTGATTAATCGTGTCCTCATCATGGAGAGCACATGTTGCAGTGAGATCACCAAGAATGACCTCACTGTTTGTGGGTGGGAGCATTTGGATAGCCACAGCAACCCGATTAGTGGTCCCTCAGTTGCTGGGGTAAATGTGGTCAATGGGGTTGAGAAAATTGGCAGCTGGGGGACCTATTTATACCACTGCACGTTGTGTAGTAAACCACCTGGGGTTGTATTGCATAAGAAAGAAAAAGGAGCCATATACAGGGTGAAAGATGCCCATATAGTGGTACCTCGGGTTACAGACACTTCAGGTTACAGACTCCGCTAACCCAGAAATAGTACCTTGGGTTAAGAACTTTACCTCAGGATGAGAACAAAAATTGCACGGTGGCAGCGCGTTGGCAGCAGTAGGCCCCATTAGCTAAAGTGGTACCTCAGGTTAAGAACAGTTTCAGGTTAAGAATGGACCTCCAGAACGAATTAAGTTCTTAACCTGAGGTACCACTGTATTTGGCCTTGCCTAGAAATTATAAATAGGAATCCAGTGGAAAGGAAAGCAGTTCAGATATCCCAGAACACAAGAAGAAGGTGATGAAAAAGACTCGACCAGGGTTTTTTTTGTTTTGTTGTTTTATTCAGAACTCTGCACAAGGTGGAACAAGACTACACCCCTCCCTCAGGTCCTGTGCACCCGCCAGGCTGGGGCTGGGGCATTCTGTTTTGCACAGTGCTTTTGCATAAGCTTGCTGTTCTAGCCTTCTGCCAAATCAGCATGAAGCAAAACAGCCTTCCTCTCCACTCCAAGTTCTTTGGTACACACAGATGATGCTGCTTCCACAAATAATATCCGGCTACAAAGTCAAGCCAAGATTTGTGGCACCGGCAATAACACACTCGTTCATTTCTTGAAGAAACCATTGAAATGAGACTTCTCTCCAAATCACCTATTAAAAATCCTACAGATGACCCTCAACATTATAGGTCCTCTACAACAGAGCCTAACCAATAGGAAGGACCAACAGGGATCACTAGAATACAATCTCATTTTCCCCACAAAAAGAAAACTGGCTGCAGAGTAGTAGATGCAGCGTTCGAAATTCCTGTTGTTCTAGGAGCGTTTTGCAACAGGGACTTTCATTAGCGCGAGCTGTTTCTGAGCTTTGGGCGCAGTGCTGGGCGTAAGATTCCAGATTAAAACTGCAGAGTGGAAGGAAAGGAGGACCTTTTTCTGCCTCCCCACTTCCAGCCACTCTCTGAAGACTGGAGAAGGGACCCTCTTAAGAATATAAGGGGGCCAGGCAGGGGGAAGAACAGTCTTGTTTTGTTTTGTTTTTTGCAGTCTTCAGATGACAACTAGAGCATGTGAAAAATGAACATAAGATTTTAGCAGCAGTTCCTTCATTTTCAGCTTTGTATTCTTGCTATAAAAAAGTGCACCTAGACATTCCGCTGTTGCACCCGTAACCTAAGTTTAAGGTGCCATTTAGCTCCTAACTTTCATATCTCAGTTTCTAACACTGGGTAGATGCTTAAAATACAATATATGCCGGAAAAGGAGAATAGAGGGGAAGTTTTTTCACCTTTCAACAACAAACCGCCGGTGACAAATCAAGGTTTGTTCTAGGCTTGATGCTTACAGTTTGTTTGAGGGAAATAAACCACAAAACCAGATTTGGACATAATGGCTTGCTTCTTCGTGCTTCAGCAGCAGCAGCAGGAAAAGAGCAACAACTTTTCAACAGCATGCACAAGCACCCTGGACATTCACATTAAACCATAGCTTCTCTGAGCTATAGCTATGGTTTAATGTGATGCTTGAGCCATGCCATAAAAGGAGACTCTAGTGAATGATCAAGTCCAACCCTTGTCCTGAGATATGATATCCTAACCCTAAATCTGCCCTCTCCAGTTCTTGTCCGATATTCTTTTTGAAAAACAAAAGATTTAGCCCTGAGGCATGACTTCAGTGAAGCAATGAATGGGAAACTGCTGCACTGTCTGAATTCAAAATGCTTACAAATTAAATTACTATTTATCATGAGCATCTTGTCCTGCTCTCATTAAAAAAAAGCCAAGAGGAGTATAAAATGGTTTTACTCTATGGGGTGTCTTTTCAGATCCTCTAACAGGATTAAACAACCAAATTCTAAATGGTTTGTTTGTAGTTTCTTTGTGATATGTAGATTAACTATTAAATTCAGTTTGGGACACTTTGACATCTGTTTCCAGTGCATTACAATGAAATCAAGGGACTTCATACATACATTTGCAGCAATAAAACTGTCACTAAATTGGTGTTTTCCAAAATATTGCCCATAACTATTACTATTCAGTAGTCTCATTTGCATGATCCAAGTCAATTCCCTTACAGCGTTGCTTCTGGCTGTGCTGACTGGTCCCAGGAACATGGCCTAAAATAGTATCAAACATTTAGAAAGGAAAGGAGGTGGTTTATTGAGTATTTACAAACAAGCTGTAAACAGATCAAGACACTGGCAGTATTACTATAAGAAACCTTCAGTTTAAATGTATATATATGATACATATATGAGGATAGATGATTAAAAGAACAAGTTAAGGTGATTTGGAGTATGCAGAAAAGGACGAAAATAAATGCAAGGAACCGCAGAAAAAGCGGGAGGAGAGTCGAAATTGAAAATGTTAAAACTTGGTAAAATAATTCTTGTAGCGTATATAAATGAAAATTTAAAATAGTATCAAACTGTTCAAAACAGAACAGCATTACAACTGATTAGGGGAAAGACGCACATGCTGCCAATGTCTAAAACAAGATCCAAAACAATTACATGGTCACAACTTGATTTTAAGGATATCTGTCGACACCAAGGAGAGTACAAATAAAGAAAGAAGAGGATTTTAAATGTAAAATGCTTGAACTCTCATTATACCCACCAGATTAAAGTTCATTTCCTTTCACGCTTATGTAAAACTCATACTAAATCGTCCCTGGTCAGTCAAACGAGGAATGTGTTTGCACCGCACCAGCAACATATTCCGGGGGAGGGGGGATGGAGCCATGACAAATCCCGATTCTTGCCACTGGTTACCGGTACTTGCTCACTTTCAGGAAAAGTTGCAAATTCTTCAAACTATACAGATAACGCATCTCAGGACTCCACACATCCAGCAGGATCCTCAACTTCATTCCTGCAACTGAAGATGCAGGGACAAAACTTCCAACACAGTTATGCCAAGGAAGGGGAAACTCGTGCCTCGAAATACGACTGATGCAAATGTCTCCCATGCCCCCATGCAATGTGTACAAGCTGCTTGCTAACTAATCCTTCCTCTGTCCCAAACTAGTAGTAGCAGAGTCTTGAACAGAGGGCAAATATGTGCTCTGCAGAAAGGGAAGCCTGCATTGTGGACCCCACATGCAGGGACACTGTTGGTGAATGTCAGGCACGCTATTAAAACAATTACCGACTGCTAACACTCATTATCTCTTTTGCTTTCCAAGATCATAGCCTAGGCGCATGCAGAAGAACCAACAATTGAGAAGCACAGCTCCACTGCAAGCGATTAGGCTCTCTACTCACAACAGGGGGCGGGGAGGCAGAGACGAGGGCACTGGGCAAGCATCTAGGAGGTAGAATACTTCCTCATTCATTCCCTACTGAGCATCTGAACTATGTGTTTCAGAGGCTAACTATTGTTTAACTCAACTTGCATTTCCTGTTTCCCAAACCCATGTCAGTCTACGGAATAAGCTGATGGAGCTCAGTCTTGCGAGTGTGCAATTATGGCTTCCCTCACCGTTTCCTCCCTTTTCCTGCCTGGCAAAAAGCTTTTTCTTACAAAAGGTTCCTTCACCTTAGACGGGTTTTGCTTTATTCAAGGGAATGGTCTGTGTGTTCCTCAAACAGGAGTCATTTCAAGGGAAGTACTGCTATTCTGTATTGCCCTCCTTCGTCCCCTAGGTGTAAACGAGTGAAAAGAGCAGATATTTTAAATATGAAGTGATGCAAACGCCTGTCCACAAGGATTTTTGAAGCATGTCATCTACTGACCAATCAGTGGGTTCACCACGGTGTCTTTTTTCCACTGTTGAGGGTATCCTTGTGTCCTTCAGGGTGTGTCTTGTGCATGCAGCAGGGAATAATGACATCACGGATCAGTTCCAGCATCACTGAGAATAATACAGCTTGCTAGAAGCGACCCAATGTCCAGTGCAATGTTGTGATTGAGAGTGTCAGGCTAGCATCAGGGAGATCCAGGTTCAAATTCCTGCTCCACCCATCAAGCTCATTGGGGGACACTCTATGTCAACCTTGCCAACCTCATAGGGTTGTTGTGAAGATAAGACAAGGGGGAGCTACCTGGAGAAAAGGCAAGGTGAAGTGTAATAAATGACTAAACCTTGCCTAGCGTCCTGTTTCCCCACACTGGCCAATGAACACCTAAAAAGACATGAAGCCAGTAGACTCCATCCATCATTGCTTTCTACCAGCTGGTACTCAGTGGCATATTGCTTCTGCACCCTGACATTCAATATGCAATTGTATCTTCTTTTCCCCTCCAGGTGTTTAAATGCATTATTTTTAAGGTACTTTTCATTTTCTGTGTTTTTATGCTTTTACTGTTCATCTTATTATTATTAATATTAATATAGGACACAGGTAGCGCTGTGGTCTAAACCACCTAGCCTCTTGGGCTTGCTGATCAGAAGGTCGGCGGTTCGAAACCCCGCAACGGGGTGAGCTCCCATTGCTCTGTCCCAGCTCCTGCCAACCTAGCAGTTTGAAAGCATACCAGCACAAGTAGATAAATAGGTATTGCTGCATTGGGAAGGTAAACGGCATTTCCGTGCTCTCTGGTTTCTGTCACGGTGTTCCGTTGCACCAGAAGCGGTTTAGTCATGCTGGCCACATGACCCGGAAAGCTGTCTGCAGACAAACACTGGCTTCTCCTTCAGCCTGAAAGCAACATGAGCGCCGCACCCCATAGTCGCCTTTAACTGGACTTAACTGTCCAGGGGTCCTTTCCCTTTTCCCTTTTATTAATATTAATTAAATTTCTATACCGCCCTTCATTCGAGAATCAGAGGCAGGTTTACAACATAAAAATACAAAAATACATATCGTAGTAACAAACCAAACGCAAAACCCCAAAGGCCTGGGAGGAAAGGATTGTTTTTCCCAGGGCACCTAAATATATGTAATGAAGGCGTCAGGTGAGCCTTCCTGGGGAGAGCATCCCACAAGTGAGGAGCCACAGGAAAGGCCGGTACTTGTGTAGCCATCTTCCAGATTTCTCATAGAGAAGGCACACAAATAAGAGCTGCAAAAGATGATTTCAGGATCCACATCAGTTCCTATAGGGAGGAGAGCAAGTCCTTGAAGTACTGCAGTCCTGACCCGTTTCAGGCTGTACCAGTCAAAACCAGCACTTTCAATTGGGCCCAGACCGGTGCAATATACAGTGGTACCTCAGGTTACAGACGCTTCAGGTTACAGACTCCGCTAACCCAGAAATAGTACCTCGGGTTAAGAACTTTGCTTCAGGATGAAATCGTGCAGCAGTGGCGCAGCAGCAGCGGGAGGCCCCATTAGCTAAAGTGGTGCTTCAGGTTAAGAACAGTTTCAGGTTAAGAACAGACCTCCAGAATGAATTAAGTTCTTAACCTGAGGTACCACTGTATTCAAACCGTCTTGACCCAATGAGCAACTTGGCTGCCAAATTCTGCAGCAGCTGAAGCTTCTGAACCTGCATAGCTAATAATAGGGGTGTCCTTGGCAAATTGCTCAAACAATTGGAGGGAGTCAATGGTGTTGGGGAGTGCATCTTGGAGTTGCTGTGTTTTGTAGTTTAAATTGACAGCATTTTGATGCTAAGAGTCCGTAAGAATCCAGCTATGTTCCACCGACATCCTCAGTCGTTGGTGCACTTGGAACCATAAGACTGCTGTCGAACCTCCTAATGCAAACTGGTAAACAAGATAGATAAGGTTTTCACACTCCGCAGTTCATTATTTACCATAATCTGAACGTTCCCCTACCCATTCTGCAACTCATAGTATTCAATAGCACTGTGTGGCAGTTTAAATTTTGATCTGATCTCCAAGTATGGCTTCCCGGGTTCCTGTTTTGTATTAGACAAATGTTGAAGGAGAAAGAGAGATTAATTGAAGGCCCTAATACCGTGCCTGTTAGTGCTAAGAAGTCATTCCAAATGTTCCAAAAAGGATTAATGCAGTATAACAAGTCTATTTAATTACTGAGAGACCAGTGATCCTCATATTACTATAAGCAGCTTTCCCCTTTATGTAGTGTCTATAAATAGAGCAAAAAATTGTTTAGGCATAACTATAGATCATGTAAAAAGAAAAAAAAGAATCTAGGTTAAACGTCGCTTACAAATAATTGTATATGGTAACAGATATGAGATGTGAGTATTCTGCAGAAATACTACTTAACCTACATAGTTCAAATTTGTAATAATGTTACATTTGCATCCTTTATTCACAATTTCAACAGCAAGCCTAAGAACCATTAAGAATCAATAGGATGCACAAAGACTAAGTTGCATCCTTTGGTTACCATGATAACAATTCTGGTACAAGCGGACGTAACCTGAGGTAACACTGTAATTAATTTACGTACTTTCCCTAAATATTTCTATAATGTATACTTTAATCACACAAATATACCAATCAGATTGCAGGATTAAAATTTGTTTCTGATGGTGGAGGGGGAGCGAGGAAATCATACAAATTATTTAAAAAGTTGTGGCTTCATCCAGGAAGCCAAATAACTATTCAAATTCTGTTTTCTGAACAGTGCAAGTTACTCTTTAACTACCAAGAAAACAATGGCATAATTTTTCACATTAACTCTTTGGCTGCAACTAACTGAACAGAAGCAGTTCTGATAAAGCAGTGAAAGGAACAGAAAGAAGGTTCCATTGCAACGTGTATGTGTATGTATTACTTATATCTTTTTTTGAGCTTTCACACATTAGCTTATTAAGAATCCCAAAACATTGTTTTGAAGGAAGGAATTAAAAGGGGGGAGTTAGAGGAGAAAGAAGCCAAATGGCCCAAGCCCCCACAGTTCAAGTTCCTAATTAGAGGCTTTTGTTTCACTTCCAATTCTTATTATTAATTTGTTTGCTGGAGAAGACAGGGGGGGAAACAAATTCCTATTAGGAAAGCCCAACAGCAAAGTACAACACCCAGATCCTAAAGCTGTAAGAAGTTTCACAGTTGCTTACTAAAAGTCTATCAAATTGTTAAGTGCAATAACCAAATGTATCCTTTACTTGGGATTTCTTGCTATGGGGCATGATGCAATAGCTAGTTTAGGCATGCCCAGTAGAGCTTCAAACGGCCTTCAGAAGGCAAACTTCTTTTGAAACACCTTTCCGTGTGTACATATGCTGTTTGTGTGTGTGCAAGACAGAAAGTGTGGTGTGTATATACTTTGCATTTTTTCCTGGTATACAGCATCATTGCGTATGGGGGGGGAGGGGAATCAATATTGTGTGATCTCCAGAATCGGGTCCAGCAGGGCACAGGCATTTCTCTGATGAAAATAGTGACATCCTATTCCATCATCATCATCATATTTTTTACTATTTATACCCCGCCCATCTAACTGGGTTGCCCCAGCCACTCAGAGCATTTAGCAAATATTCAATGAAAGTTAAATATTTGTAGCAGTTCAAAAAGCTAGAAAGCCCATACAGGGCTACCTGCAGGTGGCTCAGGGGTCGGATAACTCCATACCCTCCAACATTTCTCCGATGAAAATAGGCACGTCCTACCCTCCAATGTTCACTGGCTATCTCATAAGATCAGGGCCATTAGATGGGGCAAAGCAGCCCACCACAGGTTTCACAATGCTATTAAAAAGCAATCAAGGGCTGGGAGGACAACCAGAGAAGCTAGACTCCCTATCTCTGGGCATCGAGTTGCCCGGTCATCTCTGCATGGATCGCTTAGGAATAGTGACAACAACTAATTCCACCAGGCATACAAGACACCTTCATCACTCAACAACTCTTTTATTGCAGGCTTGCAGTTTGCCGCTAGCCTGAAGCAAGCGTCAACTGCTCTCAGGCAAGTGCTTAAATAGCAAACTGCATAAACTGGGGGTTGGGGTTCCCTGGGTAGGTACTCTCACTTTCCTAGCTTTAAGGGTTTGCAAAAGCAAGGGGGGGTGAGCCTGTGGGCAAAATCAGGCCTGGCCAGCATCTTAAAGTGACCACCAGTCTCTGGAAAAATCAGTAAAATTGTCTCTTCCTCTTGCAAACATTCTTCTTCCCACCCACTTTGCAAAGGAAGAAGAGGGTTTTGCACAGGGCTGTGGAGAGAGGTGACTCTCCCAATATACGATGCGGGGGGGGGGAATAACTCTCCTCGGAAATAGCTCTCCATTCACACTGTTGTGATGGGAGGCTGAAGCGCGCTCTTTATACTCTCCAGAAATCACTCTCCAAAGGGCAGGGAGAGTGCTTTATCTTCCTATCATAGCACGGGGCATTAAGAAGAGATCCAGACCCTCCAAGTGTCCCTTATTTTCCAGGGACAGTCCCGGATTTACAGAAGCCACCCTGGTTTCTGACGTGATCCCGGAATGTCCCGCTTTTCCTTAGAATGTCCCTGTTTTTATCAGAGAAATGTTAGAGGGTGTGGAGTTATGCAACCCCCAAGCCAAGAAGAGAAATAGCTATACAACCTTTAGAAGACATCTGATGGCAGCTCTTTATAGGGAAGATTTTTAAGGTTTAATGCTTTGTTATGTTTTTATACATGTTGGAAGCCACCCGGAGTGGTTGGGGCAACCCAGTTGGATGGGAAGGTTATAAATATTATTATTATTATGGAATAGGACCTCCCTGTTTTCATCAGAGAAATGTCAGAGGGTATGATCTCCTCCCAGCTCAGTGCTATAGTGGGCTGCCTGTCAGCTACTGGGCATGCTCAAGGTCTTGTTAACAAAGAAAGTCTTGAGCAACTCAGGACCTAGTTACCTGAAAGACTGCCTGCCCCTGAACAGACCTGTAGGATCACTTAGATCATCTGGGCAAATTCTACTCATTGCACTGTACCCTACAGAAAATCATAGGACAGTGACCCCAAAATGGGCTTTTTAAATTTTTATTTATTTGTTTATTGCTATTATTCTGTACTGTGAAATGGCATTCTCTCAGTCACACATGGAATAGCAATCATCAATTCGGCATCGGGCTCAGACCCCATATGAAGATGTGTCTTTTTTGTCTAGGCTTCCTCTGACACACAAGGCGAGACCCTGTTTTATGTGTTTGAATCCTCTGGATTCCAATGTTATTTGCTTTCATATGCTTATACAGTGGTACCTTGGAAATCGAACATAATCCATTCCACGAAGACTGTTCAACTTCCAAAACATTCGAGTTCTGAAGCGCATCTTCCGAATGACACCTAGGATTTTGCACAGCAGAAGCCATGTCGGACGTTTGTGTTCCAGGAACGTTCGAAAACCGGAGCACATCTGGGTTTTTGGCATTTGGGAGCCGAAATGTTCAAGAAGGGAGCCGTTCAAGTTCTGAGGTACCACTGTGTGTGTTTTTCTCTTACTGTTTTATTGGTTTTAGGTTCTGTTTTTGTTTTAATGATATACTGTTTGTTTTTCAGAATGTACACTGCTTAGAGGTTTTCAAAGTATTAAGCATCTTATACTTTTAAAACAAACAAACAAACAAACAAACAAACAAACAAACAAACAAAGTACTGCCTCTGCTCTTCAGCAATTACCCTCAGAAGACTGGCAGAAGTAGTTAAGTACTTCTGTTATAAAGCAAAAGACTGAAACAAGCAGTCAAGCACGTATATATCTCAGTTGTAATCTGTTAGTAGCACAGAGCTCAATCAGATGCTCAAGTGGTTCAGGATACAGCCCCCTCTTCTGCCCAGTGCAAACCACAGCCTGCCTAGGAGGGCAGCAACTGAGGTAATACTAAATAATTCTTAAAGAGAACCAAGATTAGTGACAAACAATGTGTAAGTTACATATCTGAACTCTTAAATCAGGGGTGGGAAATCTCCAGCCTGCCAAAGGTTTATAAAAATATTTATTCATGAGAAGTATTTATATGCCACTCTGTCATTTTTAAAAATAAAAATAAAATAAAAGCAGTTTAAGGAAAGGAAACATAAACCAGTACAATAAAAATCATATAATAAAGTTAGAAATGGACACCTATTAAACATTGGAAATCCGTGTTCTTAATTGCCTGCGTACACCTGGCAGAAATGTTTTCATCAGGCATTTAAAAGCTGGCACAGAAGGCACCTGCCAAGCCCAGCACAGGCTGTGAGTTGGCCCAAAAGGTTTGTTCCCTAAGCCATGCCCACCTGCGGCTACAAAGGAACAATTCAGGAGCTTAAAGTGAGTTCAAAATTGTTCCTTTGCAAGAGTAGCTCACTGACGGTGCCAACTGGCTGAGCACTGCCAGGTTGTCCCTTCCGTGGGAGATTTTCCCAGGGCAAATTGCAAAACATGCAGGGACCTTTCTAAAATGAAGCCGTAGGTTGTGTGAGGAGGTAAAAGTGCCCCCCTAACCTCACACCAGGGTCTGAATCCAGATAAGGGAGCCACCTTGGCAATTTGGGTTTCTTCACTTTGCACTTAAGGGTACAAATACCCAGCTACCGTGTCAACCATTTCAGACTGCAGATCCATTTCTCTCCCTCTCTCGTCCTGTTTAAAAGCTGCTACAACATTAAATTGTGTCCTCCTCCCAGAAAGCACGTGTTGCAGTGAGATCCTCAAGACTGACCTCACTGCTGTTGTGGATGGGAGCGACTGGATAGCCACAACAACCCGATTGGTGGTCCCTCAGTTGCTCGGGTAAATCTGGCCAACGGGATCGTTTTCATGCATTGACAAAGTTGTGTTGAGCTTCCTCTTTTTTGCCTCGTGCATCGGATCACACGCCCACCCTCCCTATATTTAGGGTTCTTTATAACCTTGCTATGTAGTTGTGGGTCGTCTGCTTTTGGGGCAGGGGCCCGGTAGGAATTTTCCCATTTGGCTGGTTGGCTGGTGCTACTTGGGTTTCGCCTGCCGTGTAGCAAATTGTCACAACTTTGTAAGCTTTGGTGGTTAGGCATTGGTTCAGTGGTGGTGGAGGGGATGTGGATAGGCTGTGCCTGCCCCTCCAATGCTAGGGTACTCCGTTAAAGGAATCCAGGGGCTCGCCTAGCTTTTGTCTGATCCCCTTCCAGGGATTAGGGCCATGCCAGAGCCCCTGGGAGCATTTGGGGTGAGCTTGAGTCTGAGCCTGGTCCAATGCTCCCCCAGGATGTTTTCCCTTACTGACGTCTGCCGGAG